TGGTTCACACTGGTGTATCGCAAAAAGTTTCGGAAATCAAAGCCGTGCACGGTTTTGGTTATAGCTTCCCATCAAGGTGTGTTACCGACCAAAAAAGTTTAGAAGACACTGCATTAGATACATAAACCATTTGGAAACTCAACCAACTAGACGAGTCTGTAGTTCCTTAAATCATAATTATTTTTGTAAAAGAACACTTATTAGACATACCCGAGGAAATTTAATTCCTTGTGAAGTACGTCATCGAAAAAATTAAATAGATTTTAATTTCTAAATCCTATGCTTAGGAAATAGACGCTATTGTCCGCAAAGCTTTCGGTTTATGAATCATTTATTTAAGAAGTTAATTGCAAGCTACTCTTGTGAAGTATGTAATCCTGAAGAAAATGTTGTGAATTTTTTATTTTCTCCTTTTTTGAAGAAATTTGAAATTTCTTTTAAGAATTTTAAAGTTTTATGCACGAATTTAATCATTTATGACGTAAAAATAGTAAGGATTGTAAAGACAGCTTTTATTTTTGGACGTTATAAGTCAATGATTCCAAATTCTTATTAATGTCCCCTTTAGCATCTTCATAAAATCTTACAGAAATCTTTAACAGCTTCACATCTTCAACAAGCAATAAAATTGTGCATCTAAACACCATCATCACATATTTCCAACAAATTCCTTTTAACTTACTTTTCCATAAAATATTTCATATAGTCTGTCTGCAATATTCACAATTTTGCACATAGCAAACACATATGGTGTATCCAAAAATATACACAAACATTAATGTTCATTGCACTCAACAGTTACCAATTTTCAATATGTTTCATTTGCTTCACGACTCAATGAGCAATCAGCTCACAATATCATGTTTGAGTTTAAAAGATGTAATGTGACAATAACTGTGCTATAAAGGATTTTCTCCATTTTTTTCCATCAATATTGATGATGATGATGCAGACGAACAGAAATTGAACGTTTATTGTAAATATTTTTGTCATTTTTCTTTTGTTATCGAAAAGAAGAAAATTGTAGTCAACTTTTCTTCCTTTTGACAATTTTTTTCACGCTTTAATGCTTCGTCTCAAAAGAAAAGAAAATGAGGATTTTTTAAAGTTAAATGTGCCTGGCTGTGAAGCTATCCAAATAGGGTGGGGTTTTTTGACTCTAATAAGTTCATTGAGTTTGTCCGATGACAGTTTCTAATGATACTGAATTTTCAAACTCAAGCACAGCAATTTATGGGCATAAAAATGAAGCCATAAAATTTTATGGTTCTTCCTACTTAGATTCTCATCAAATCACCCTTTGCACAGTTTTTTTGTTCTTCCTTAAATTCGGAGGAGTTCATTAATGACGTGCAATTAAACTTTGAGAACCCTCCTTGAAAGTTGAAAACTATATATTGGCTGGAGAAGGTTTGGACTGTTGAAATTCTTAGCTATGCTTTGTCTCAAAAACCCCTAATTGCTAGACATCATTAGCAAACGATCCCATTCTCACCAACCATGGAAAGCCAAATTGCTCTTTTTCTATTAATTTCTTTTCCTTTTTTTGCCGTCTCAATTTAATGTTAGAAACAAATTTTCATCTAGACTTTTTCTTCTGCTGGAGAAGAAACTCTTTTAATTTTTCTTTCATTTTCACTCTCAGCCGAAATATTTTAGGAATTTTTGTTCCTTCCAAACTCATTCTATTTTGAGTGAGAGGAAAAAGTTGTAAATTTAGGTTTTTTGTGCACAAAAGTATTGTTTTAAGGCAGTGATTCTGAAACTGTGTGTCGTGGACCACTAGCGTGCAGCAAAAGTACCCGACTGGCACAAGTCAGTTAATCGATCAGAAATCCGGCACCAAGCAGGTGTAACTCTGGCATGGTGCTGGAAACAACAACAATATCATTAAGAACGGGAGAAGCAATTCAATTTGTTGCAATTGCACAATTTTCTTACAATTTGTACGACTCACTTATTTTCATCCTTTTTCTTCCTCTTAATGCATTTGAGTTTCAATTTGAGAGAGAGAAACGAAAAAAATGAAATTTAAAAGGAATTTCATGATGTTTATATTATTGTGGATTAAAACTTGATTGTGTTTTGAAAAATAAAAGTGAATAGATGGTGGCTGTGGAGATGTTAAATGAACGAGAGGAGAATATTTTTTTTTTTGGTTTTAAGTCTTTAATTCTTTTGAATTGAGTGGTATTAAATGGAGTTTAAAATTCTGATGAAATGGATGAAAATTTGTTTTTTTGATTAGCTTTGAAGATTGTGAATGAAAGATTTAAATTTATTTGCATCATTGAAGCAAAGTTTTCAGCGTCTTTGAATCAAAAATCCTGCATCTTTTATGCAAAACATACCTGAACCATTGAAGCTTTTTTTTTTCAATTTAAAAATTAAATTTATAGCAGACGAGCAGGTTAAAACCTTTTCAACATCATGAACCAAAAATCCCAAAGAGAAAAATGACAACATCATCAACAAATTAAATCCCTTTAAGGTACAATTAACATAAATTGGAACATATTTCTAAATAAAATAACATAATGGATTGTTTTTTGGAATTAAGTTCTGAAAAATATGACATTTTACAAAGCAACGGTTGTCAAACAGGTAACATTTCTTTTTCAGCAAACATTTCGTTTGTCTGACAAGTGCTGAAGGCTTTCGGGTTTAAAAAAAGAGCTTTTTAAAAACATTTTCAAGATTAACCTTTCAATTTTTCAAATGAAACGAGAAAATTTATGACAAAAATGTCTCATTTCGAAGGAATTTTATCGTTTTATAACAAATAGCAATTATCTGGAAACGTAAAATGAGCTTTTTTCTGTACATCAAAGCATGTTTTTACCATTATTAGATTCACCGGCAGGTAATAAAAATTTCTATGTTAAGAAATTAGAAATGATAGAAGAAAAAAAAGCAATAAAGACAATTTTTCGTTCTTGATACATTATATCATGTCTTGGAGACGACGGTAAGTGTAGACGGTAATTGATGTTCAGAAATTAAAGACGCATCGGGGCAATTAAATTGCTTAATGCAGCACAATTTTTTAAGAAACCGTTAAAAGTTTGAATTTTGAAAAACTTAAAGCAGCTTAAAGATAATAAATTTTTAATAACTGCAAAACTTGAAAGTATGTCCTTAACAAGACATAATAAATTATATAACAAGTAACATTTTCATTCGAAGATATTTCGCTCAAAAATATTTGAAATGGAATTTAATTTAACGACTTGACAGATACAAAAAAATAAGTTATATGTTCTGCAATGTGGTTCAAAATTTTTTAATACTTTGTCATGAGTATATGAAAACATGTATTGTGTTCAATAGGATTACAAATATAAATTCATTTTGTTCGACAACACGAGAGAAAAGAAGCTGAACAATGCAGAATTTCTATACTTCGATTAATTGATTGATTTAAATGAAAAAGAAGTTTTATTCTCTTGAGTTTGGAGTTTTACGATTGATGGGAATTAATTGGGTATCAAGTGGTTGTGGAAAGTCTTTAAATGATATAAATTAAACAAAATATTAAATTTCAAAAATTTGGAATTTTTAAGATTGTTAAAATTTTAAAAATTATATTGCTAGTATAAATCTACACAATGTATTAATAAAGCTTCAAACTTTGACTTTCAAAACTTTCGACTCAAAAAACTTCACCTTCAAAAAATTCAAAAAATATTTAAAATTCAACAGCAGCACACCTAGCATCCCTTAGCACATCGACATGTGTACGAACGTAAAAAAAATATTTTTTTTTTCTGTAGAACTCAAACGTCAATCTTCTGTCTTCTATCTAACAAGCATGAGTTAGAGAAAAAAAAAGTTGTAGAGAATAGAATAAATTGAGGATTTTGGTCACGTCTAATAATGAATCTCCTGCTTGGTCAGTGAACTGAATTTTCATTTTCAGACAAATTTTTATATATTGAATCTCATTCCTCTTATAAATATATCTCTCTTATGTTTTCAATGTAGAATGAAAGTTGAAAATTTTTTAATTAAAATACTTCGTCATGAAGTATGAAGACGAAACAAATAAATTGGAAATGAATTTTTTTTTTCTTTGCTGTATGTTTCGTCTTTGTATTTTGAGATAAATTTAAAAACACAATTTACTTGATAAACTTGCTTAAAATATTTAATTCATTCAGTTCCTTACAATTTTTTTGGGGATGATGAGGAGAGATGAATATCTATTGGTCATGAACTTGCATCAATCCAACAATATCTATATTCAAAACAATATAAATACCATAACAACACCAATTACATTTAAATATTAATATGTCTCGTGCATAATACATGCATAGATCTATATCAATGTTTGATCAGAATAAATTCTACATTATCAAAAATTTATGGTTTGGCATGTTTTCATTAAAAGTTATTATCCTTGTTTGAAACTTAGGAATTGACCTTAATATTCATTTCTGGACAACCTTGACATTCAGTTTATGAAGTGTCAGTGTCACTTTTTTTTTTTGGTTTAAATCAGTTTTAAATAGATTTATTAAATGTTCAGACCAGGAAGTAGATCAATTCTCATTGATAATTAAATAAAACAAAAGAATAACGCTTGCGGTTGGCGTTAAAATGGTATTTGTAAATCAATCAAAACTTTGATGTATTAATAATAAGATATTAGAAGTACGAAGAGTCAAAATGGGGCAATCTACAGTTAAGCTAGCTATATGTAATTTCTAACTATATGTTGGGCTATGTATCAGTAGGAGAATAAGCCGAATTAGGAAAAAAAATCACAATGAGTTTAAAATTAGGTTTGAAGTTATTCGGCAACATTTACGGTTACTATAAAAATAGCCAAAAATGACATTAATTGTGGAACTGCCCAAGAAAATATTTGCCTATAATTTTGACCTATCATTAATCACTTATTACTTATGGATATTTACAACAATTGAAATGTTGCTTACATCAAATAAAAGAGCCAGTCGAACTTTAATTTCAGTCAAATGAAAAGTTAAGGCACGATGAGAATAGTTAAAGTGATTTCGCTGATAATTTTGATGAGTTTTATTGCAATTTCAATAGCCAAAGATTCAGATGTGATAAAAATAATTGAGGTTATAGTTAATGACAACAGAACTAGCCATATTTCCTATGTAAATTTATTAACGACAGAAAATTATTTAAAAGATGTAAATAGAAGTGACTTTATGGCGAATTTGATGAATCAAATATCAAAATCAAAAACTGTCATGCTAATTAATGAAAATTTTATGGATAGACTCTCAAAGAAAAGGATTTTATTGACTGTCATTTTTACAAACTCGCTGGATGAATTTATTAAATTAGCATCGAAATTTTCTCATTTAACTTTCAATTATGCTGGATATTACGTAATCTTATTTGAAAATGCCAAAGAATTGGAAGTACATCAAGTATTTCAAATTTTATGGAGCCTTTATATTAGAAATGTGAATTTAATTCGATGGGTTGAAGAATCAATCATTGTCGAGACTTTCTTTCCATTTACTTCTACTTACTGCAACAAGACACATCCAGTAAAAGTCGCAGACTATGAAAATGGAAATTTTAGCTTCAAACCCAATGAATTTTTCCCAAAAAAGTTTCAAAAGTTCTACAACTGCACAATCAGCATGACATCATTTACAGCCTTGTCACCATCTGTATTAAAAAGAGAATTTAGTAATGGAACCTTTGAACTTTATGGTCGTGACATTGAAATGTTGAAAACACTTTCATTTGAGCTCAATTTCTATGCAAATAATACTTATCTGCATCCATTTGGCAGCTGGGGTGTAATGTCTCCTAACAAGACATTTTCAGGAGGTATAGGAATGGCACAGAGACGATCGACTGATTTTGTGTTTGGAAATATAAATTTAAAGCACGATCGTGTTGAAATTATGGACTTTTGCTTCGGCTATTACTTAGAAATTTTGGTATTTGTTATTCCACGTGGACTGCCTTTCTCTCCGTTCCATAAACTTATAAGACCATTTCATAATTTTGTATGGATATGCGTATTAATGGTGCTTGTGGCTTGTGTAGTTGTTATTTTAATCCTTTCATTCCTGCCGAAAAAATTTAAAAGTTTTGTGTACGGCGAGAATGTCACAACTCCGTTCCTTAATGTCATAATTGCTATGTATGGTGGTGCTCAAAATATTTTACCGAAATACAACTTTTCAAGGTCTTTATTGATGATGTTCCTACTGTTCTGCTTAGTTCTTCGTTCACTCTATCAAGGCTCACTGTTCAAATTTCTACAAGCAAATGACAATCAGCCAGAAGTTGCTTCAATTGACGAAATGGCTGAAAACAATTTTAAATTTTATATGATTCCTTCTTACGATGACATGACGAGAAATAATGCAGCAATGAAGGGTAAAAGGGTCATTATTGATCCTCTAGATCAGAAAGGGATTATGAATAGAACTCTAAATTCTCAATTTGCTGGAAGTGTAATTGATTCCATATCAGATGTCCTTTACAAAAACAAAATCAAAGCACATAATAGAGAGGAATTATATAAAGTTTGTAAGCAGCCATTCACAACAATTCCAATCACGATGTGGTTTCCAAAAAATAGTTATCTTGTGGAACCAATCGATGAAAAATTAATTTGGTATCAATGTTCTGGTTTATTGCAATATTGGGCATCATTTGAAGAGGATTCAAAATATTTATCATACACGGATGTATCAAAAGGACCGAAACCCATGTCAGTAGAAAATTTTTCAGCAACTTTTCAAATTTGGTCGTTTGCTTGCGGTCTAGGATTTATTATTTTTATATTAGAAAAATTTTGTCGTGCTTTAGAGTCAAGCTGGACGAGGATACAGACAAATCCAGATTTACATGGTGTTACTTTCTTTGTTGTAAAACATCAATCTCATATGCATAAGAATCAAAGCACAGAATCAACAGCGTGACAAAATTGTGAAGTTTTTAGATATAGTCAAAGTGCGCCTGTAGCCAAAAAGCAAGATTTAACAGTAGTTAAGCCTCGAATTGTTAAGACATCAAACAGCATTTTGCATGGGAGAAATTACTGGCAAAAATACTAATTCTAGTATGGATATTTAAGGTGGTGGCAGGAATGAATATGAGTGGGTTTGGCAATCCAATTTTCAATGAATGTTATTTTAGAATAATTCTTTTGAAGATTATAATGAGTTCCAGCAGAAAATTTCTAAAAAGTCTCAGAATTATGTTACTAAGCTCTATAAAGTCCAAACATTATTTGATCAGCTCCCACATGAACAACGTCATGTGAAAAACTAATAAGTTCCTTAAGAAATGTGATTTATTGATGTATTAATGTTCATAAACTAATGTTTGTTTCGAATAAAGTTTTAATGAACAGGAGATCATTAAAAATTTATCCATCCATTTTTTCATGACATTTAAGCTGTTGTTGGCTATTTAGTTGTTTCAATTAATTTTCTTTTACTTATTGAACGTGCCGAAACACACTTTTCAGAATTTCAGCTAGGCAAAGATCTCATTTAATAACTTCTCGTGATTACAATTATTAAACTTTTCACTCGCGTTAATCTCTAAAAGTTGATACTTTGAATTTCGTGTTATTAGACAAAAGTGGAAAGCGTTTATTTCTATAAAAAGTTCCCAATCGGCAAATCACCCGTAAAAAAAATTAAGCAAAAATAAAATTCTGACATGTACTGCGTTTCTAATTCTATTTCAACATATTGCCATGAATAAAATCTGTGCATACTAAAAAATTTTATAATACAATAAAAGCTAAAAACCTTTATATAAAAAAAAACCTAAAAAAGTTCACCGATAGATAAATAAAATCGCAATGAAAATGATTCGATAATCCTATTTTCCCATCAAAGGCATAAAAAAAGCTGCAAAGAGGAGATAGGAAGTTTGATTGTGATTTGTTGATTTAGTTGATGTAAGCGCAAATTTTTATAAAAAGATTTTAAGCTTTTGTGTTGGAATTCGGCAAGCAAAGTTTATATATTTTTCATCTTTTTAAGGTGGGAATTTTTATACAACCTAAGAATTAACATCTAAACCACCTCATTGAAGACAAATCGACAGCATTAACATTCCACATCCAATTTCCAAGTTCTCTATAAAATTCGAGACTTGGCAACAACATCAATCTGATGCAATAAAATTCTGCATGAAAATGAAATAAAATTTATTTGATTCGAATTTGTCAGAAAATAAAAATCTGTTTTTATTCCAAACTGAGTGGAGGAATGCGTGTCGAAAAATAAAATGATTATTTTATTATTATTGGACATATTTTAATCTATAGCTGCCAATTATAATAATTAGGAATATTCTCAATTGTCTGTTTGTTGTTCAAAAGAGATTTATCCGTGAACAAATGCTTTGAATTTATTTATAATTAATTTGTATGATTCAAAAAGCTTTGACAGGCTTTGACGTGTCAAATGGATTACAATGAAATTTTGTGAAAAATTAATTCTGAAAATTATTTTTTATATTTTTTATTGCGATGAGCTTTTTTACTGACAATTTAATAAACTTTTATTAAAATAAATTCCAAATTGATTTTTTTTTTAATATTCTTTTGAAAGTTATTTTTGTACAATCAAAAAAGCTGGATAATTATTTGATAATAAGACATTGTTGATAGGAAAACAAATTGTTTTTTCAGCTACAAACAAAAGATTTGGAAAATAAATTAAACAGTATGAATCTTGGCTTAATAGCTTTTTGAAACTTGTATATAAATCATCATATTTACAAATGAATTTTCATCATCTCCATTCATGTTATCTATCTGGTACTGAACAAAAGGGGGTGTCAGGGTTGAAATAATAGAATTTCAAAATTGCAAGAACAATTCGAGTAGTTTTAAGAGTTAAAACAATTCGTACCGTAGTAAAACTCTTTTAAAAATCAATCTATGTGTTCGGAACCTCCAATTTCTAATCAAGTATCTTAACCAAGTTGCATTCATTGTGGCTTTACTTAGCAACTCATTGTAAAATCTTTCACAAACTTAACTAAACTAAAGATTTGAGAAATTTGTTCTTAAATTCCCATAAAAATCACCCCTGACCAAAATAATATGAGAAACAGAATAAAATATGGAAATTGAAGCATCTTGGGTTAGTTTTTCAGTTTTTCAATTTTATATTTTTGGATAATAAGAGAAACTTTTTTTTTGTGTGTATATTTTTATGTGCTATCTCATTTCATTTCTCCTTCTCCTTCGTCTCCATCTCATAGAGAAATAGAAAAGCTGAAAATTAATTTTCTAGCACGGAAAGGAGTGGAAAAATTTTATTGTTTGGATGAAATTAAAACAGAACAAAAAAGATTTTAAATTTGTTTGTATTTCATTATAAATTTTGATAGCATAAACTGATTTTCATTCAAACAATAAAACTATCATTAAATTCGCAAAGCAAAAATAATTACAGGAATTAATGAGCACATTGTGTGCATTTGTATATTTAGAATTTTGTTGAGCTTATTGGTTGAATAAAATTTGTAACAATAATAATAGAAAATTAATTTGAGGATTGCATAATTTATTGATAACTGAATAGTTGAATTATTAATTGGAATTAAATTATGGTAGAAATCACAACTTTTTAATGGAATTAGAAATTACTTCACAAAATCATATCAACACTAAACTCAATAAACTGCCAAATCTACTCAAAAATTTAGCAAAAAATATCCTCAAATTGCTACTTAACAACATTTCATTCAATCTCATTCATTTTCGAAACAAAATTGACAAAAATCCAATTTTAATTCAACAAAACTTTTCAAGAATTTTTTTTATTTCGAATTTAATTTTTTTTATTCTTCAATATCCCACAAATGTTTGCTTTTTTAGGGTTCAAAAATCGAATGTCGAAAGGAAGTAAGACGAAAAGTTTTTTTTTATTGTCAATTGCAGTCTGTTTGCAAAATGTATATGGATATAGAAAAAAAAAATATTGACAATTGTAGTTTTGGGAATGTTTTGAAATAAAAAAAATTACTTTAAAAAAAATTCAGAAGGATGTAAAAAAGAATAAACAAGCTTTATGTTTGATTTTAATTCTGTATCCTGTATGGAGATTGATCGGTTTTTGTTATCATTCCTATTTTAATGCAATATTCAATTCCATTGCTATACAATGGGCATTAAATTTTGCGCAATGAAGAGAATGGGATGGAATTTTTTTGTGGATGAACTAGAAGAGGAAAATGTTGGTTTTTGGTACGAAAACTATTTCTGTAGAGGATCATGGAATTGAAAATAGTTTAATTGAAGTTTAGTTCTGAATTTTTTGCATTGAAATTCAATCTAAATAACTTAATAAAATTGTTTTACAATAGAATATTTTAAATTTCTGATTTTCCACTTTTTTGCAGTGTTTCAATTATTTTGTATCATTTACAACTCAATCCTCTCACATATTCACCCAAATTCCATTCGTTTTCCGTCCATTTCACAAAGCTAAATGGAAATGTCTAAATTATTTACGATAGTAAATAAGAAATCATTTCCTTTGTTCAGTATAAAGCTGTAATTTAATGTGTAAAATCTCAATTCGCTTTGTGAATTTAAAATATTCGCGAGATAGAATTTTCTCCATTTTCAATCAAATACATATATAACAATATTCTAGTTGAATTCACTTAAAATATCATGTGTAATTTTGCTTCCATTTATTTCCAGTGCAATGAAATAAATTTTATATAAGCTTTCATCGCTGTTTTGAGTTTGAAAGAGTGTTGGATTGGCTACTAAAGCGCAGTGGATAGGAATATCTTTGCTGCATTCTTTGAAGTTTAGAATCGTGATTGAAACAGAAAACTATCAGAAAGTAAGTCTAAGAAAACTATCAGAAAGTAAGTCTAAGAAAAGAAAGCTCGAATGAAGGTTTTGCAAAAGATCATTTAGCTACATTAACCAACTTGGTCAAGTTCTAAACTTCAAAGCATTCTTTCTAAACTTAAAGCTACAAAAAACTCTTTCCTAAGCTGAAGTTCGCACATTTTTCAACATTTCATTCTTTTTCTAAAGCTTATTTTCTACACCAGCATATTTACTCAATGAAAATTCATTCAATGAATCACTGCATGCATACGAGCGCGTGCATTTGTGCTTTTTCTCCTTACTCACTTTCATGATATGATGATACCATCACGTATTAAATGAATAAAGTTCTTTTTCATGCAATGTAACGATTTGCAAGAAGCAAGTACAATTTAAACTTGACGATAGGAGATGCATTGTATGTCTTTAATTCACTTAACTTATTTTATATCATGGTAAATATTTCTTTTATAAAATAACGAGTAAGACCAGTAATAAAGATTTTCAATTTTGTAGCTAAACCGAATGTGATACTGAAATTTAAACCGAAATGAAGAATTTATTGGAATAAAAACTTTTGCCTTTTCCCGTCTAGCTCGATAACTCATTAAAAGTTTGCATATGTCTATGCATATATGCAGTGCATGTATATTTATGTGAATTTGCTTTCTCATATTGATCTTTTTAAACTAAATTTTAGTATTGAATAAGTTCTGAAAATAAACATAGCTGTATATATCATCTGCATACATATTATGTTGGTGGGAATGTGAAGAAATTGTTGGCTGAAGTTGATATTGTGTCCTGTAGATTTACTTTACTGTTTATAGATGTTTATACAAGTTTGGACTTGAAATTCTCGAATTCAGACTTTGAAAATTTGATTTCAACTTTGACCGCTTTCTTCTTCAAAAAGAAGCCACAGCGATACACATATTAGTACAGTAGGATAGACTCAAATAACATCCACACAGTTTAATATACCGGAGTCATTTTTCAGATTGTATCAATATTTAATTTGCATAAAAGTTTTCCGGACGAAATACTATCCTCTCTTTTATTTTCAACATAATATGTAGCACGGAGTGAGTTGTTATTTTT